GTGACGTCATCGTTTTCGAAAAGCTCCGTTTTCAAAATGTTTTCTGTCCACACGAAAACGAAGAGCCGGCGTCTTCAAAATTCGTCTGGTTTGAAGAGCGTTTCGGTAAAGCTCCGTTTTCGTGACGGATTAGTGTGGACGGTAGGCCTAACCGTAAAATTAAAGCTGCGATTTCAAATGTCTCCTGCGTAGTGTGCACACTGCCTATATTGACGACAAACAAAATTTGACTTGAATTCATAAAAGTCAAAAAAGCGAGTTCCAAAGGATTGGACTACAGTACAAAAAGTTCCTAAAAGCGAAAAAAACGACTTGACATAGAAACGGGGACAGCAAACAGTAGCAAAAGTGCATGTGTAAGGATGGCATTGTCACCTACACGTGAATCGAACAGCGAGGATGAATTTTTTTTATTATACCTTTTTAAAAGTCGCACAATTTTGTTAAAACGAACGCATAATTTACGGAACAATTTATCTTTGATTCTGAATTCTGATTATCGCTTTTATGATATCAACGTTTTCCTCTTCTGTTTTGTTTTTGGTCGACGGAAGCGACGACCAGGAACCATTTCCAGTCGTACCTCTTTGAAAGCCGCAAAATTTTGTTAAATCATAAACGCATAATTTAGGACGAAATTTATCCTTCGTCCTGAATTTTAAAACCATCAGTATACAATATTGAATAACACATAAATTAGCCAGAAGCTGTAGTATTTGATTAATTATTTGTGACACAACGAGGTATATTTCGCGTGGTGTAGTAGGGATCATTGCCGCTCCTCAGTTCAGAGGAGCGCACGGCCACGGTTCGATGACAACTCAGAGCCCTTAATCTTTCCTTTTGCTTTTTGAGCGTGGTTGACTAGTAATTTATCGGACTGACTCCAAGTCCGGGTTGTAAACCAGCATTGAGATAAAGATATTCTACCAGACTAAAATAGATATATTTCACAGCAGCTAGGGAGAGCATGGTTACAAAAAAACCCATGTTGGACGATTCTTTTTTCACAGTATGAACTCTGATTCTTTAACTATTTGGCAACTTTTGTAAGCTTTCTCGAGCGACAATCGCGTTTGCTGTGTCACGCGACCACAAAGGAACAAGGTAAAGTAAAAGGTTAAGTCTGCATACGAGCCAAGTGGCCCATCAGGCCGCCGCTTATCGCGGTTTCTGTAGCATGAAGCGACCAGGAGTATTTCTACTCCCCCCTGGATGGGATGGTAGTCCATCGCAGGGTTACCCCCAGCATTAAATTCGCCGGTACCCATTTATACACCTGGGTGGAGAGAGG